TATAACTATTTCATTACGTAATACTGTCATTTTTACCTGAAATCTAAGATTTCCTAATGGTGCCTTTGCGTAGGGGACTGACCTAAATCCATAGAAAAAAAGACTGGAATTTGATGAACTTCTTGTCATGAAACCCCTCACATATCCGCTTTGTGTTCTAACGGTCAGATTGTACTGCAATGTAGACGATATCTCGTAATATTGAACTTCGAAGTGCTAAAATAATTTTAAGGAAACTTACCCCACATGATTCGTTAATACAAATCAACAAAATCGCAAACAATATCTCTCTAGATGACACATGTGGCACCATTTTCACGTTCTGGTACTTAACATGTTAAAATATATCTACACTGCTTTTATAGTCTTTATCTAATCGGATCTGACAGACATCTATTGTTTGTTAATTTTGTTTTTGTAGATGTTCAAAATAAAAAATTGACTGCTGAGGATTAAAACTGTAACGGCTTTTTTTCAGGGCGAAAAAACACGTTATCGAATATATACGTATTATTATGGTGCCAAAGCTACTTTATCACTTTTTGGTAACTTGTAGTTTTTTTGAACACCACGTGCTAGGGCTTCTGATACGGAGAATTACAGCCTGCACACAGTAGAAGTAACGACCTTGGTCAAGCGAAGAGAGACGTTACTGTCTACTCCTAACGGTGGACGTACCTTTGTACATAATACAATAGCTGGAATGACGGCTAGATTTGTAGTTCTATTTTTTTCTGTGATAATTTGACTTTTCATCATCATAAGGTCGTCAGTCCTAAGACTGGTTGAACACGCACCTCCACTCCTTCCTATCCTGAGTTAATCTTCGCATTTCCTTGAAATTAGAACATCCCACTTCCTCAACTACTTGCGAACAGTAATCTAACCTAGGTCTACCTCCTCTTAACTCTTGTTTCTGCCTCTAATGTGTCTCTGACTAGACCTTCATGCCTGAGAAGGTGTTCTACCAACCTATCTCGCCCATTTTTTATTCTTCATTTCTAACCTGCTCCATCCACGATATCCTCATCATTCTTCCATAACACCACATTTCGAACGCTTCTAACCTTTTCTTTTTCGCGGCGCCCATCGTCCATGTTTTGCACCCGTACAGCGCCACGCTCCAAACATACACCTTTAACAGTCTATTTCAAATTTCTATATTAACCATTCGCGAACATAAAAGTGATTTCTTTTTATTGAAGACGATTCAACCCTGCGCTATCCTCTACTTTATAAATCTACTAATCCTTCCGTCCTGACTTATCCGACTTCAGCCACTTTTCACACAATTTTTCGTCTCCTATCTTTATGTTCGTTTTTTCCCTATTTTTTCTTCCCTTGTATACCGTTATTTTTGTTTTACTTTTATTTATTTTCATACATTTATTTTAATGACTTTTAGTGTGCATAATCTAAATTTTTATTCCTGGTATGTAGTGGAGCACAATCCAGTTCTTGTGTGAAAAAAAGATATAGTTGTCCCAGTCTTACATAACAACGTAGATTGCTATTTCAGTTCTTGGTATTAGACCCACTTTAAGTATCTCATGAGATATCGGTTTTTGTTATTGGTATATGATACGCAATGGTTTTGACGATATACCCTTGACAAGTCAGTAGAATATCCAACAAATACATTTTAAAACTGACACTGTTCCTAAGAACGCAGGCAGTTTTACGGACAATGATACGAAGTTAATAAAATCTTAATAATTCAGTTACTGAAAATATTGGTAAAGATGGAACTTTGTGGAAAGCAGAACTGCAGAAAAAAGACTAAACGGTGTTATATAATAATAGGTGGCATTAATTATAACGTTGGTTTTCAACTAAGAAAAAAATTACAACGAGATGACTTGGGATACATGCTTAAGGTGTATATCGGAACAACAATCATCCCGATAAGATAACGACTACGTGATTTTGGAATTCGTCTCATGGCGGTTGGATTCTCGTAATTGGCTGAATGGAGTGGCGTTCTAATAATATGGATTTTTGGAGTACACGTGCGGATTTTGGGCAACCTGCGAGATTCCGACCAGAACATGAGTAAACCGTACAAGCTACATACATAGTAAAAATTGTTGCTCTTAGTGTCTGGATCAATTCTGAGTTACTAATTGTGTTTGCTCTAAGCTTTCCTTTTGCGAAGATCAGGCGCGAATCCAAGATTTTAATCAGGAGGGAGGAGGGGCACTTTTGTGTGATTTTCTTTTTCTTCCCGAAAATTTGTTTTAAATAAAAAGTTTCAGTTAATTATTCACATAATACTTGCATTTATTATTATTTTTAATCATTAACGCATTTTTTATTAACAATCAAAGCGATGAATGAAAACAATTCTGGTATAGACCTTATGACTTTATTTTAAAAATTTTAAAATCGGTTAAGGTTAAATGATTTGAAGGGGGTGCAATGGGGGTGGGGGGCAATTGCTTGCCAGTCAATTTAGGAAAGCGTTTAATATATGTATAGTACTTTCTCGAAATATCTACAATTTTATGCACATTATTTCATTACCATCACATCATCAGCCCAGACAGGCTGAATACGCGCCTTCGCTCTTTCCTATCTCGAGCTAAACTTCGCAAACTAGAGGATCGCAGATCCTTAATCATTTGTAAGCTGTAGTATAATTTAGGTCTACCTCTATTCCTCTTAGCTTAGCTTTTGTTTCTGTTTCTGATATGTCGCTAACTAACCTATCTAATCTGTCTCTTATAGACTTCCACACTGCCCTCTATTCTCCTACTCTTTCTAATACCTGTGGAACAGTAAAAATTGGATAAAAAATAAATCTCAGTCACGTCTCTTTTTTTGATACTATTTATTCTATTTCAAATTATTATAATATTTTCTCTGTATTAACAATTGTACTGACGACCTCATGATGATGATGATGATTAACAACTGTATTATGGTTAGTATGTATAAATTGTTGATGTTGAATACTGCTGAAATATTTTCTTCCAAAATAAGAAGTCTTCCTGAGCTAGATTTGTGCCAGTTACCAATTGTTTTCCAATTTCCAAATACCGAACGTCATTAACTTCAACTCCTCTTGCGTCTGGCCAGGTTACGTTTCCAAGAAGAGGATCCAGAATAGGAGTAGGATTTCTACAAATTTGACAATCTATGCAGTCGAGTAGTATACACTGGTACAATGTCAATAAAAATTGAACAAATAAAGTCCAGCCAGGTCAGTTTTATGTTTAAGAAGACAAATTGTAATTGGACTGACAAAAAGGTGTGTTTCAAACACTTTGCAGTAAACAATTGTAAATGCAATTTCTCAAAAATGCATAAGAATGAGTCATGGTGTTAAATAGGGCAGTGAAAGTGAAGACTTCGACTTCCCAACTTGACCCAGTCATAGATACATACCCGTAAATTGCAAAATTAGTCCACAACGTTATCAGACGACTCCTCGTTAGCTTATCGGCTTCAGTATTTAATGTAGTATTCCATAAATAAATACCATCTTCGTCATGTCCAGCTCCGCCTACAAGAAATTTCATCATTACCTTCACATATGTCTCAAAATCAGGCTCACATACAAGATTGCAATTTAAAGAAATACAGATAGATAACTATTTAAGTCTAACAAAAATTTTTTATTAAAACAAAAAATTAATATCGCATTAGTCTAATTGTAGTAACAAACCGTTAATTCCTTTGGTGTAATTCTCCTTTGTAGCATATGAGAACATGTAAAAATATACTGGCTGGGTTGTTTTCACCAAGTCTGCAACTATTTTTCGTATCCCTCTTGCAAAATAATGTTGAGTCATAAACTTAAATCAAAATTCTGATGTTAGAATCAAAAAGCCTTAATTATTTTGTAATATTACGTTTAGGGAACTCGTTAAATTATCGTACACCCTGTCTGGAAAATAAAAGTCAGAAATCTTTTCCACTAGTTCGTCAGCCACTGAAGAATTTAGGTCAACATTCAGTCCAGCGGGAATGACATTTTTAGGATTCGTAGCGAACTGCCTGTATCTACCTGAATATCAAAACTGATTTCAACTTTACAATGGATAATGTTGTGAAATGTTTACCTCTGGCATAAGCACCATCTTCCGAAGTGTAGCCTATTATAACAGGAACCTTATTAAAATCACCGTTAGTCCAGATTTCATAAGTGCTACGATCTATAAAAGCTTCTGGATGGTCAACTTCAACAGATGGTAAAAAACGGCTAACTTGCTAGAAAAACATTGAGGTAATTTGCGACCAATTTTTCGATTTTTTTCCCTCTTACTAGTGAGACATTAACTAGGATTTTATAGTCGATTTTTTGAAGTTCTCGGACTACCTGAGCAGTATTATTGGAATAAATATTGAAAAGCCTTGCAAATTGAAGAGTTAACTCTTTTGGATTTCTCGTAAACCCCCATTCATTCAGAGTAACACCACTCTGAGAAATTGCTTGAGCAAAAAGTCCTTAAACATAAACAACCGGAAATTTATCATAAAAAGTTAATTTGTGTCATACCTTCGCTTTTTGGGGAAGCTAATTGATAGCTAACACTGGATCCTCCAGCGCTTTGACCGAAGATAGTGATTTTATTTGGATCCCCTCCAAAATTCCGAATATTATTTTTAACCCATTGTAACGCGAGATTTTGATCTTTAAGACCTGCATTTCCCCAAGCGTTTTCATCTTCAGTATTTAGGAAACCTAAGACCCCTACGCGGTAAGCAATAACAACCACTATCACCGGCTTTTCAAGTATATTTGATGGATTCGCAGTAGGTTTACCACGAACAAATGCACCACCATATATCCAAAACATTACTGGGAGGGATAAGTCATCGTTGTCCTTAGAATGTTTAGATATAATATACGGTATTCTAAAATTGTTTCAAGCAATTCTACCAATATTTGGTAAATGAAGTCTAATTATTGATTTATAAACAAAAGTTATAATAACTAAAAGTGTGAATCAATTATTCGAAAAAAATTTTGAGGGGACTGATTGTTTCCAATATTAATATAATAGTTCAGTTGGTAGAGAATTTTCTCGATATAAATTTGTTGTAGTCGGGGAAAAGTTAAGCATTCCTGTATATTTTTAAACTTCGAAAAACTGTGCGTTAACAAACAGGGGAGGTTCAAAGATGGCAAAAGCCAGATTTTTAGATATAGAAGGCAAGCTATGCCTATTAGAAAGAAAAGCTTTAAATAAAAATTGCAGAGAAATTAGAAACCTTCATTTTTAGCAGTGGTACGATCAATTTTGTCTATTAGTTATTGCAGAAATGCCAAAAAATCGTCAAAAATTGCCATTTCTCGTATACTGATTGTTTATTGTAAAAATGACTTTTTTATTGTTATTTGTGTAGGTACCTTATCTGTTTGCGTAACATATACATTTAAGTTTAGGCAATTTTCACTTCCAACTACAGGACTTCCAGCAGTTCCACTGTCGTGGGCTGCACACGAGTCGGGGTCAGAATTGACCACTTTAACCCCATCCCAAGGCTCAGGTGGTTGAGGATCCTAGATTGGATTTCGAAATAATAAATGATACAATTTGTATTTTCAATGTAGTTTATCTCAAACAAAACATCAAAAAGTTGACATTTACTGACAAAGAACATTAAAAATGATCTGGATTAGATATCTAGGTGCTTGTAGTATTGATAATAAGTCAGCAAGTATTTGATTGTTAATATTATTAATCAGTGGGTTATTTACGTACGAAAATAAGATATTTTGCAAATGAAGATTTTTATCTTTGATACGACTTTCAATGACTATTTACTTGATGAAAATCCATATTTATTGTTTTATAAATAAAACTCAAAAATGTAAAATTTTCCAATAAACTCAACACAGAATATATATAGACACGTAAAGTTTAAATTCTCAATCAATGTTTATATCATGGTTTTCGTATTTTCAAAACTTCGCAAAATCTTAATAATTTACAGAATCATTCAGTGATTTCATAGTAAAATTGCCGTATTTACCTGAAATCTAAGATCTCCTACTGGTGGTTTTCCGTAAGGGATTCCCTTAAATCCGTAGAATAAACGATTAGAATTTGGTGAACTTCTCCATGTGTAACCCCTCACATATCCGCATTGCGTCCAAACTGTCAAATTGTACTACAATATAGGAGATATCAATTAACAAAACTGCATTTCTGAATGTTAAAATTAATAAAAAGAAACGTACTCCACGTGTTTCGTTGATACAAATTAATAAAATGGCATACAATATTACCCTACAGGACACGTATGAGACCATTCTCACTTCTGATATTTAATTTGTGAAAAATGTATTAACAGTGCTTTTATAGTCATTATCTAGTCAATTCAGATAAGTAGCTATTGTCTGGGAGCTATCGTTTGGTAGAGATTGTTTGGTTTTTTTTTTTGTAAATGTTCAAGACAAAAAATTAAGTGTTAAAACTAGATTACATCTTATAGGGTTTATTATAAATGTAACGTTTTTTTTAGAGTGAAGAAAAGCGACACCAGCTACGTTTTATAATAGTATAGGGGGTCATTATTTCTCTGCAGTAAATGCTGTTTAGGTAATGCAGCTTTTTACCAGCCATTCTGTACTGAATACACCAAATGAACTTTCTGGATGTTTTAGCCGAGTTAGTCACAGTATCTTCCACTGTTTCACTAGGCAACAAGTCGACCTCAGTGGAAATACTCGCCTCAATTACATGATTCATACTGGTAGACTGTGCTCGCTCCCCTAAANAGTGTGTATTCTTTCTATCTTCGCGCAGATTTCTTCAAGGTCACAATTGTAACAAATTGAAATAGACTGTAACTTTTGAACGTACAAACTCTCGATGTATTCCATTTCGGCGTTATAGAGATAGATAACAATCGCACCGTTCGTTCAATAAAACTAGCGGGGTAATTTACGTTAATTAGCCCGATAGCGTGAGTCGTGTCCCATATGAGGGGATTAGTTGATATTTACTCTCCGGGGTGTGCACGGGTTCATGGTCTATTACTTCTTCGGTAATGGATCTCAGGATGTAAAGTGCGACCGTATGCCGCCAGAAAAGCGTGATGGAATATTATAGTTTCTGTGCGTGGTCCTAAAATAACATCTCTAATGCTCCCCTAGCGTTTTTAGTCAAAGTGCACGTTAAGACCTCGTATGGATTTCGGTGACATTTGGTTTTGACAGCTCTTAAACAAGGATCAAAGCGGCTACAGTCCAGCTGGTCCTGCGGAGAATTGAGCATTACTTCACCGACGACGGTGGATGTAAAACCATGAAAAAAAGTTGAAGATCCTTTAACAATAATTACAAAATGTTATGTTCACGACAAAAAGATTAGAGATCGGTAGAGGTAATAACTTATTCCGAAGGAAATGAGCCTAATAGAAAACATCGTCAATCATCAGCTGACCAATTTTTTTGCCTACAATTTAAATCGAATGCGCATTGACTTACTGCGCAGTGGACCATAACTGAGTGACGCTCTTACGACGCGAGTCGTACAATAACCATTTAAATTAAATTTGATTTATGACCGCCTGCAGAAAATGCAGGCACTGTAGATTAAGTGAAAGGAGTGCTCCTTCTGTATAAACGTCTTCTAGGACGAAACAACTGTAAATATTTTTAAATAAACACTTTGACATTATATTTGTTAAATAAGCCTTTCCACAAAGTAAATATCAATAATAATTCCAAATGAATTGGACTCAAGAATGGTAAGTGAATGTATGAAAAGAAATGACAGCACGAAGCGATTTGGCATCGGTCAGTACAATATAATTTCACGCTTTCCATCATACTGATATTACTTTGTTTTATTTCAATACATCATCATACTTTTTTTACATCGTCTATTATTTTATGTTAGTACGTGTAAATTGGTGGTTTTGCATGTTGCTGAAATATGTTCCTCCAAAATAAGAAATCTTGCTGAGCTGGATTTGTACCAGGTACCAATTGTCTTCCAATCTCCAAATATCGAACGTTATCACCTCCAAGACCTCTTGCGCTTGGCCAAATAACGTTTCCAAGAACAGGATCGGCCGATGGAGTAGGATTTCTGTAAAGATACAACATGTTCAGTCGTTTACTATATCTGCAATAATATAAACGTTAAACGGAAGGCGAACATTGCAACGGATTATTATCAGACTAACAAATAGGTTCCTTTACGTCTTCAATACACCTGGCAGAAAACAATAATATGCGGAATTTCTTTAAAATGTATTAAAATAAATCATATTTTTAAAGAGAATAGAAAATTGTAACAAATAACTTATTGTGGGTTCCGACATACCAAAGTAGTCCAGTCGTTAATTATACATACCCGTAAATTGCAAAGTTAGTCCACATCGTTATCAGACGATCCTTCATAAGGATATCCTCTTGATTAGCTAATCTAGTGTACCACGTATACAGATTTTCCTCACCATGTCCAGCACCTGTTAGAAGTTTCATTATTAATTTCATATGCACATGTTTTTGGACGATATCTACTAGAAATCTTTAATATGATTGGCCATCAATATGATAGTAGCTATGAGTTACTTTTTATTGATACATAAATTTAGAGTAGTAACAAACCGTAAACTCCTGTGGTGTAGTTCTCCGTTGTAACATACGAGAATCTGTAATAATACAGTGGCTGTGATGTTTTCAGTAAGTCTGCAATAATTTTTCGAATACCTCGGACAAAATAATGTTGAGTCATGAACTAAAAGGAAAATTAAGTAGGTAGGATAAAATCTTTAGATGAAGATGAAAAAAGTAAGTCATTGACTGTTGCAATATTTCTGATTGTAAATAAACTTACGTTTAGAGATCTGTTAAGGTTATCATACACTCTGTCTGGAAAATAAAAGTCAGAGATGTTTTGGATTAGTTGATTAGCCTCTGGAGAGTTTAAGTCAACATTCAGCCCAGCGGGAATGAGATTTCTAGGATTTTGAGCGTACTGTCTGTAGGCACCTGATTATCGAGATTGCTTTTAATGTTGGAATGGATAAAGTCTTAAAATATTTACCTCTACCATAAGCGCCATCTTCCGAGGTGTGACCTATTATAACAGGAACTTTATCAAAATCACCGTTAGTCCAGATATCGTAAGAGCTACGATTAATAAAAGCTCCGGGATGATTAACTTCAACAGACGGTAAAAATCGGCTAAGTTGCTAGAAATACATTTGGATAACTTCATGTCCAATTGTTCTTTTATTTCCTTCGTCTATTTAATGTCTTACCGAAGAGGCATTAACTAAGACTTGATAGTCTATTCTTTGAAGTTGCCTGACTACTTCAGCAGTATCGTTTGATCCTATATTGAGCAGCCTTGCCAATCGAAAAGCTAACGCTGTCGGATTCCTCATAAATCCCCACTCACTTAATGTAGTACCACTTTGAACAATTGCCTGAGCAAAGAGACCTTAAATAAAAAAGAACTGTAGCGTTAATATGCGATGAAAGAGTAAAGAAAAATTTGTCCACGTCAGTAAAGAAAACTGCATGATTTATATGATACCTCGACTTTTTGGGGAAGCTAAATGATAACTAATGCTGGCTCCTCCTGCACTCTGACCAAAAATGGTGATTTTATTGGGATCTCCTCCAAAATTCCGAATGTTATTTTTAACCCATTGTATCGCAAGACTTTGATCTTTAAGACCGGCATTTCCCCATGCGTTTTGGTCTCCAATATTCAGGAACCCAAGGACTCCTAAGCGGTAAGCAATGACAACTACTATCACTGGCTTTTCAAGAAGAAATGATGGATTCCCATAAGGTGAACCGCGAACAAATGCACCACCATGAACAGAAATCATTACCGGGAACGATAGGTCTTCGTTGTTCTTAGAATGTTTAAAGAATTTTTTTAGTTATAATCAATTTAAAGTATATCCAAAGAGTTTAATTAATGTTTAAAAAAATATTGACGACTTCCGGACAATAGTGTTGAAACACTTTAATTTGTTTTATTTCTTATATTTTTCAAGTGTGAACCACATCTACCTCCAATGTGGCAAAGAACCCTTTTTTAAGTTTTATAACTTATAAATGTTGTTTGCTATTTATGTATTTACCTGATCTGATTGCGGTACATATATATTCAAATTTAAGCAGTCTTCATTTCCAATTACAGTACTTCCAGCGTTTCCAGTTTGTTGAACACAGGAGTTCGCAGTAAAGTTGGCCAGTCTAACCCCATCCCATGAGTCAGGTGGTTGTGGGTCCTAGGTTAAATTTTAGAAAGATAGCTAGCAAAGTATGTTTGTATTTTCAATGTAGTTTATTATTAAGCAGTTTTTAATTACTTCATCCCAGTATATCCCCTATACCTTATTGATGTTGATCGCGTTTTTTAAAAAGTAGTGGTAACAGTGTGCATCCCTGTCTGACTCCCTACATAATATTTAGTTCTGTACGTTGCAGCCCCAGCTCTATAACTGCCTGTTGCTCTTTATACAAAGTAAGCATCACTCCTCTATCCCTACAATTCATCCCCACATTTTCAAATATATTTAACCTCTTGTCCGATTTAACATTGTCAAAACAAAATCTACGAATCCTATGTACGCACTCCTTTCTTTTTCTATAGTTTTCTCTATTATTACCAGAACCAAGCTAGAATTGCCTTCCTCGTACCTCTATTTCTTCTAAACCCAAATTGATCTACCCCCAGTAGTTGTTCCGTTCTTCTTCTGTTTTAAAGCAACGATTTTCAATTTTTATTAACTCCGTAATGATTTAAATAACATAATTCTACAATAATTTAAATAATACTTTTTTAGTTCAGTCTTATTTAACTTCCAAGCATTGCAGAGGCCTTCTTAAGTTTTTCAGGATTAAAGCGCGCACTGTGACCCTTTCTTTGTCTTTTTGTGATTACGATTATTTATTTCCTTTATGGAGGCATGTTTATTTATTGTAAATATTTATTATCTTTGATACGACTTTTGAAAGAATTGTGTCAAGCAGTTTTAAATGAGTACCTAGTACTTGTTATCAACTTATCAACGTAGAAATATCTTCCGGTGCATGATACGATATTGATCAAATCAGTGGTTTGGCAATAACTGTAAATTTATACATGCGTGTAAGGTATAATTCTTGGTTCCAGTAAGAATCACATTTGACTCAAGTAGTCCCCAATATTTTCGTTCCATTTTAAAGAACAGTATAATAGTTATTGGTAAAAAGTACCGTAAGATATTTTGGGAATTTTGTAGATGTTTATAAAAATCACTATTATTATTGTTGTTTGGCGGGAGGTTCTGTACGGGTGCGAAACATGGACAATGGGCGCGCCGGAAAAGAAAAGGTTAGAAGCGTTCGAAATGTGATGTAACAGGCTAATGACAAGGAAACCGTGGATAGAGAGGATTAGTGATGAAGAGGTATTAGGAAGAATAGGAGAACAGAGGATTCTATTGAAGTCAATTAGAAATAGGCGAGATAGGTTAGTAGGACACCTTCTCAATCATGAAGGTCTAGTTAGAGACATATTAGAGGCAGAAATGGGAATTAGAAGGGGTAGAGGTTAGATTAGATTATTGTTCGCAAATAGTTAAGGATATGGGTTGCTCTAGTTTTAGGGAAATGCGAAGATTAGCTCAAGATAGGAATGAGTGGAGGTGCGTATCCAACCAGTCTTAGGACTAACGACCTTATGATGATTAGAATAATTGTAAAATGTACGGGGATAAATAGTTTTTTTCAATAAATAATGAAGATGGCCACTTGCTTCATTCATGAAAAATTACTATGGCCTTGTTGTTTATAGGATAACTAAGTCATAGTATAACTATTTCATTACGTAATACTGTCATTTTTACCTGAAATCTAAGATTTCCTAATGGTGCCTTTGCGTAGGGGACTGACCTAAATCCATAGAAAAAAAGACTGGAATTTGATGAACTTCTTGTCATGAAACCCCTCACATATCCGCTTTGTGTTCTAACGGTCAGATTGTACTGCAATGTAGACGATATCTCGTAATATTGAACTTCGAAGTGCTAAAATAATTTTAAGGAAACTTACCCCACATGATTCGTTAATACAAATCAACAAAATCGCAAACAATATCTCTCTAGATGACACATGTGGCACCATTTTCACGTTCTGGTACTTAACATGTTAAAATATATCTACACTGCTTTTATAGTCTTTATCTAATCGGATCTGACAGACATCTATTGTTTGTTAATTTTGTTTTTGTAGATGTTCAAAATAAAAAATTGACTGCTGAGGATTAAAACTGTAACGGCTTTTTTTCAGGGCGAAAAAACACGTTATCGAATAAATACGTATTATTATGGTGCCAAAGCTACTTTATCACTTTTTGGTAACTTGTAGTTTTTTTGAACACCACGTGCTAGGGCTTCTGATACGGAGAATTACAGCCTGCACACAGTAGAAGTAACGACCTTGGTCAAGCGAAGAGAGACGTTACTGTCTACTCCTAACGGTGGACGTACCTTTGTACATAATACAATAGCTGGAATGACGGCTAGATTTGTAGTTCTATTTTTTTCTGTGATAATTTGACTTTTCATCATCATAAGGTCGTCAGTCCTAAGACTGGTTGAACACGCACCTCCACTCCTTCCTATCCTGAGTTAATCTTCGCATTTCCTTGAAATTAGAACATCCCACTTCCTCAACTACTTGCGAACAGTAATCTAACCTAGGTCTACCTCCTCTTAACTCTTGTTTCTGCCTCTAATGTGTCTCTGACTAGACCTTCATGCCTGAGAAGGTGTTCTACCAACCTATCTCGCCCATTTTTTATTCTTCATTTCTAACCTGCTCCATCCACGATATCCTCATCATTCTTCCATAACACCACATTTCGAACGCTTCTAACCTTTTCTTTTTCGCGGCGCCCATCGTCCATGTTTTGCACCCGTACAGCGCCACGCTCCAAACATACACCTTTAACAGTCTATTTCAAATTTCTATATTAACCATTCGCGAACATAAAAGTGATTTCTTTTTATTGAAGACGATTCAACCCTGCGCTATCCTCTACTTTATAAATCTACTAATCCTTCCGTCCTGACTTATCCGACTTCAGCCACTTTTCACACAATTTTTCGTCTCCTATCTTTATGTTCGTTTTTTCCCTATTTTTTCTTCCCTTGTATACCGTTATTTTTGTTTTACTTTTATTTATTTTCATACATTTATTTTAATGACTTTTAGTGTGCATAATCTAAATTTTTATTCCTGGTATGTAGTGGAGCACAATCCAGTTCTTGTGTGAAAAAAAGATATAGTTGTCCCAGTCTTACATAACAACGTAGATTGCTATTTCAGTTCTTGGTATTAGACCCACTTTAAGTATCTCATGAGATATCGGTTTTTGTTATTGGTATATGATACGCAATGGTTTTGACGATATACCCTTGACAAGTCAGTAGAATATCCAACAAATACATTTTAAAACTGACACTGTTCCTAAGAACGCAGGCAGTTTTACGGACAATGATACGAAGTTAATAAAATCTTAATAATTCAGTTACTGAAAATATTGGTAAAGATGGAACTTTGTGGAAAGCAGAACTGCAGAAAAAAGACTAAACGGTGTTATATAATAATAGGTGGCATTAATTATAACGTTGGTTTTCAACTAAGAAAAAAATTACAACGAGATGACTTGGGATACATGCTTAAGGTGTATATCGGAACAACAATCATCCCGATAAGATAACGACTACGTGATTTTGGAATTCGTCTCATGGCGGTTGGATTCTCGTAATTGGCTGAATGGAGTGGCGTTCTAATAATATGGATTTTTGGAGTACACGTGCGGATTTTGGGCAACCTGCGAGATTCCGACCAGAACATGAGTAAACCGTACAAGCTACATACATAGTAAAAATTGTTGCTCTTAGTGTCTGGATCAATTCTGAGTTACTAATTGTGTTTGCTCTAAGCTTTCCTTTTGCGAAGATCAGGCGCGAATCCAAGATTTTAATCAGGAGGGAGGAGGGGCACTTTTGTGTGATTTTCTTTTTCTTCCCGAAAATTTGTTTTAAATAAAAAGTTTCAGTTAATTATTCACATAATACTTGCATTTATTATTATTTTTAATCATTAACGCATTTTTTATTAACAATCAAAGCGATGAATGAAAACAATTCTGGTATAGACCTTATGACTTTATTTTAAAAATTTTAAAATCGGTTAAGGTTAAATGATTTGAAGGGGGTGCAATGGGGGTGGGGGGCAATTGCTTGCCAGTCAATTTAGGAAAGCGTTTAATATATGTATAGTACTTTCTCGAAATATCTACAATTTTATGCACATTATTTCATTATCATCACATCATCAGCCCAGACAGGCTGAATACGCGCCTTCGCTCTTTCCTATCTCGAGCTAAACTTCGCAAACTAGAGGATCGCAGATCCTTAATCATTTGTAAGCTGTAGTATAATTTAGGTCTACCTCTATTCCTCTTAGCTTAGCTTTTGTTTCTGTTTCTGATATGTCGCTAACTAACCTATCTAATCTGTCTCTTATAGACTTCCACACTGCCCTCTATTCTCCTACTCTTTCTAATACCTGTGGAACAGTAAAAATTGGATAAAAAATAAATCTCAGTCACGTCTCTTTTTTTGATACTATTTATTCTATTTCAAATTATTATAATATTTTCTCTGTATTAACAATTGGACTGACGACCTCATGATGATGATGATGATTAACAACTGTATTATGGTTAGTATGTATAAATTGTTGATGTTGAATACTGCTGAAATATTTTCTTCCAAAATAAGAAGTCTTCCTGAGCTAGATTTGTGCCAGTTACCAATTGTTTTCCAATTTCCAAATACCGAACGTCATTAACTTCAACTCCTCTTGCGTCTGGCCAGGTTACGTTTCCAAGAAGAGGATCCAGAATAGGAGTAGGATTTCTACAAATTTGACAATCTATGCAGTCGAGTAGTATACACTGGTACAATGTCAATACAAATTGAACAAATAAAGTCCAGCCAGGTCAGTTTTATGTTTAAGAAGACAAATTGTAATTGGACTGACAAAAAGGTGTGTTTCAAACACTTTGCAGTAAACAATTGTAAATGCAATTTCTCAAAAATGCATAAGAATGAGTCATGGTGTTAAATAGGGCAGTGAAAGTGAAGACTTCGACTTCCCAACTTGACCCAGTCATAGATACATACCCGTAAATTGCAAAATTAGTCCACAACGTTATCAGACGACTCCTCGTTAGCTTATCGGCTTCAGTATTTAATGTAGTATTCCATAAATAAATACCATCTTCGTCATGTCCAGCTCCGCCTACAAGAAATTTCATCATTACCTTCACATATGTCTCAAAATCAGGCTCACATACAAGATTGCAATTTAAAGAAATACAGATAGATAACTATTTAAGTCTAACAAAAATTTTTTATTAAAACAAAAAATTAATATCGCATTAGTCTAATTGTAGTAACAAACCGTTAATTCCTTTGGTGTAATTCTCCTTTGTAGCATATGAGAACATGTAAAAATATACTGGCTGGGTTGTTTTCACCAAGTCTGCAACTATTTTTCGTATCCCTCTTGCAAAATAATGTTGAGTCATAAACTTAAATCAAAATTCTGATGTTAGAATCAAAAAGCCTTAATTATTTTGTAATATTACGTTTAGGGAACTCGTTAAATTATCGTACACCCTGTCTGGAAAATAAAAGTCAGAAATCTTTTCCACTAGTTCGTCAGCCACTGAAGAATTTAGGTCAACATTCAGTCCAGCGGGAATGACATTTTTAGGATTCGTAGCGAACTGCCTGTATCTACCTGAATATCAAAACTGATTTCAACTTTACAATGGATAATGTTGTGAAATGTTTACCTCTGGCATAAGCACCATCTTCCGAAGTGTAGCCTATTATAACAGGAACCTTATTAAAATCACCGTTAGTCCAGATTTCATAAGTGCTACGATCTATAAAAGCTTCTGGATGGTCAACTTCAACAGATGGTAAAAAACGGCTAACTTGCTAGAAAAACATTGAGGTAATTTGCGACCAATTTTTCGATTTTTTTCCCTCTTACTAGTGAGACATTAACTAGGATTTTATAGTCGATTTTTTGAAGTTCTCGGACTACCTGAGCAGTATTATTGGAATAAATATTGAAAAGCCTTGCAAATTGAAGAGTTAACTCTTTTGGATTTCTCGTAAACCCCCATTCATTCAGAGTAACACCACTCTGAGAAATTGCTTGAGCAAAAAGTCCTTAAACATAAACAACCGGAAATTTATCATAAAAAGTTAATTTGTGTCATACCTTCGCTTTTTGGGGAAGCTAATTGATAGCTAACACTGGATCCTCCAGCGCTTTGACCGAAGATAGTGATTTTATTTGGATCCCCTCCAAAATTCCGAATATTATTTTTAACCCATTGTAACGCGAGATTTTGATCTTTAAGACCTGCATTTCCCCAAGCGTTTTCATCTTCAGTATTTAGGAAACCTAAGACCCCTACGCGGTAAGCAATAACAACCACTATCACCGGCTTTTCAAGTATATTTGATGGATTCGCAGTAGGTTTACCACGAACAAATGCACCACCATATATCCAAAACATTACTGGGAGGGATAAGTCATCGTTGTCCTTAGAATGTTTAGATATAATATACGGTATTCTAAAATTGTTTCAAGCAATTCTACCAATATTTGGTAAATGAAGTCTAATTATTGATTTATAAACAAAAGTTATAATAACTAAAAGTGTGAATCAATTATTCGAAAAAAATTTTGAGGGGACTGATTGTTTCCAATATTAATATAATAGTTCAGTTGGTAGAGAATTTTCTCGATATAAATTTGTTGTAGTCGGGGAAAAGTTAAGCATTCCTGTATATTTTTAAACTTCGAAAAACTGTGCGTTAACAAACAGGGGAGGTTCAAAGATGGCAAAAGCCAGATTTTTAGATATAGAAGGCAAGCTATGCCTATTAGAAAGAAAAGCTTTAAATAAAAATTGCAGAGAAATTAGAAACCTTCATTTTTAGCAGTGGTACGATCAATTTTGTCTATTAGTTATTGCAGAAATGCCAAAAAATCGCCAAAAATTGCCATTTCTCGTATACTGATTGTTTATTGTAAAAATGACTTTTTTATTGTTATTTGTGTAGGTACCTTATCTGTTTGCGTAACATATACATTTAAGTTTAGGCAATTTTCACTTCCAACTACAGGACTTCCAGCAGTTCCACTGTCGTGGGCTGCACACGAGTCGGGGTCAGAATTGACCACTTTAACCCCATCCCAAGGCTCAGGTGGTTGAGGATCCTAGATTGGATTTCGAAATAATAAATGATACAATTTGTATTTTCAATGTAGTTTATCTCAAACAAAACATCAAAAAGTTGACATTTACTGACAAAGAACATTAAAAATGATCTGGATTAGATATCTAGGTGCTTGTAGTATTGATAATAAGTCAGCAAGTATTTGATTGTTAATATTATTAATCAGTGGGTTATTTACGTACGAAAATAAGATATTTTGCAAATGAAGATTTTTATCTTTGATACGACTTTCAATGACTATTTACTTGATGAAAATCCATATTTATTGTTTTATAAATAAAACTCAAAAATGTAAAATTTTCCAATAAACTCAACACAGAATATATATAGACACGTAAAGTTTAAATTCTCAATCAATGTTTATATCATGGTTTTCGTATTTTCAAAACTTCGCAAAATCTTAATAATTTACAGAATCATTCAGTGATTTCATAGTAAAATTGCCGTATTTACCTGAAATCTAAGATCTCCTACTGGTGGTTTTCCGTAAGGGATTCCCTTAAATCCGTAGAATAAACGATTAGAATTTGGTGAACTTCTCCATGTGTAACCCCTCACATATCCGCATTGCGTCCAAACTGTCAAATTGTACTACAATATAGGAGATATCAATTAACAAAACTGCATTTCTGAATGTTAAAATTAATAAAAAGAAACGTACTCCACGTGTTTCGTTGATACAAATTAATAAAATGGCATACAATATTACCCTACAGGACACGTATGAGACCATTCTCACTTCTGATATTTAATTTGTGAAAAATGTATTAACAGTGCTTTTATAGTCATTATCTAGTCAATTCAGATAAGTAGCTATTGTCTGGGAGCTATCGTTTGGTAGAGATTGTTTGGTTTTTTTTTTTGTAAATGTTCAAGACAAAAAATTAAGTGTTAAAACTAGATTACATCTTATAGGGTTTATTATAAATGTAACGTTTTTTTTAGAGTGAAGAAAAGCGACACCAGCTACGTTTTATAATAGTATAGGGGGTCATTATTTCTCTGCAGTAAATGCTGTTTAGGTAATGCAGCTTTTTACCAGCCATTCTGTACTGAATACACCAAATGAACTTTCTGGATGTTTTAGCCGAGTTAGTCACAGTATCTTCCACTGTTTCACTAGGCAACAAGTCGACCTCAGTGGAAATACTCGCCTCAATTACATGATTCATACTGGTAGACTGTGCTCGCTCCCCTAAAGTTCGACTATCATATTTGTTAGCATCACCGAGCGGCATGGGTTAGAGGTTTAGACTATTGCTAAGCATTGGGGAGGACGCCGGTTCGATTCCGAGTCCGTCTGCCTTGGTCCAAGTTTTTCTGTGGTTTTCTTGGTTCGCTCAGGTAAATGCTGAGGCAGTAATATTCCACAGATAATATTTCATTCTCTTCTTTATTTCGTCCGTCTTGTCTTTCTTACCCGAACCACCACCCACCCATTCTCACGATCCCTGAAAAAAGACTGAAGAGGGTCTTCCGCCCTACCTTCCGGCATAGTCAGAAGGGACTGCCCACCCACCAGCATTAGTAGCTGGTGGGAATGAAACACCCAAAAGTTTTTTCTTTTTTATATGATATGATATGATATTTAATACAAACTTGAGAGACATGTATTTATTATAAACGTACATAAGTGTTGTAATACTGATATGTTTTATCGTTAATATGTATAGATGGTGCCTGTTGAATAATTCTTAAACAATTCTCTCCAAAATAAAAAGTCGTCTTGAAATGGATTCAGTCCAGGCACTAATTCTTTCCCAATTTCCAAATAACGCACGTCATCTTCCCCTTCAACACCGTCCCTTGCTTCAGGCCATATAACGTTTCCTAGAACGGGGTCAATTTCTGGAGTAGGATTCCTACAGAAAAGGATTTTGTTATGCAGTGTCAAACAACAGTTGGAAGAAAGTTATTGTTCGCAATGCTCAAACTGATGGAGTTCGATGAAGGACAATTACAAGAAGCTGAACCACATTAATAAAAATTGGATTATATTAAAAACCAAATTCGAGTTCTAAAAAGAAGAAAATTGATGATACAATAGATTACAGGAGTTTACCAATAGAGAAACACTGGACCGAAATACAGAAAGAAGGTTCAGCAGGAGCAACATGATAGGAGGACACCGTTGAATGTAGGAAGACTTTACTTAACACGAAAATTGTAAATAAATCATTAAGGATGTGAGATACACCCTGTGGAATGCATATATTTACCTACCTAGGATACGCAAACGTAAAGGTTTGCGTTCGGTCAGGTTTTGGATTGATAACACAAAGGAGAACATTTAGCAATCTTACCCATACGTCGCAAAATTGGTTAGCAAGGTCACCATGACGTCCTTCATGTGTACGTCAGCATCTGTATATAAAGGACGATATAAGTAGTAAAGTGCATCTTCTCCATGACCTGCCCCACCTAAAAATTTTAACCGTTACGTTTAGTATTCCAGAGCAATATGCATTCCTTTAGTCGTTTTATAAATACAAAAAATGCGAGGGGAATCAAATATAAGCAAGACTTTTGGCTCCGAGCGAGCAATATTAAAGCATGACCTTTTTGGTTCATGAGGTGCTAGGCGAACCTATCGTGAATATTATTACTAATTGTGTTGCCATGGAAGGTGTAAAATCAGCAGAAATCCTGAGGAGATTAACTGCACAATGCAAGTGCAAGACCAAGAGCAGTGGATTTTTCAACTCTTGCGAAGAGATGCAATCACCAATTTCTTCTACTACTGTCACATAGTGTTCGTAATTTCCAAAATTATGTGTTTCATTTTTCCGAAATTAAGTCTGACTAACTAACTCAATACGCGGAACCATTATATGCAATTGCATTTGTTATGGTTCCGGTATAAGCACGACCAATGTGGGTCGAAACAGAATACCTGTTCCATGTGAAGATGACGAAAACAAACACTATGTGGGGTCCTACAAAAGGCAAAGGTAAATGAGGAATGGGAAAGATGAAGTCCGCGAGGGAGATTAAGTGAGGTCTGCGAATCCGGGAGGAATCCATTGGTCCATATGGTTCGGTAATCGTTCGGGTATATCATATACCATCACACCAAAAGAAAAAAATTTATTGTTAACTAACCGTTTACTCCTACGGTGTAATTTGCAGTTGTAACGTAGGAAAATCTGTAATAGTATACGGGACGGGACGTTTTCACTAGATCTGCTATAGTTTTTCTGATACCCCTGACGAAGTAATGTTGAGTCATAAACTGCAATAATTGTTTACAGTCTTAATTTTCAAATATATTCAACTAAAGATTTGTTTTTCTTCGGAAAAATACTCACATCAATACATTCTGTAAAATTGTCGTAGGTGTTATCCGGAAAATATATCGTTGAAATTTTCTGAACGATTTCCTCAGCTTCTTCAGAATTTCTGTCAATATTTAAACCGGCCGGAATGACTTTTTTGTGATCCTTGGCGTATTGGGTATACATTCCTGGTAATAATTGTTTTAATTATTATGCCTGCATAATGAATAATACAAATGTATTTACCATTTCCATAAGATCCATCTTCCGAAGTGTGACCTATCATGACCGGGACCTTATTAAACTCACGATTGGTCCAGCTGTAATATGTGCTAATGCTTACAAAAGCTCCCTCATGATCCACCTCGACAGATGGTTGAAATCTACCACCACTTAAACGCTAAAAATAAAACTGTTTTTACAAAAAAAAAAAACTTTTGGGTGTTTCATTCCCACCAGCCAGTATTGCTGGTGGGCGGGCAGTCCCTCCGGACTACGCCGGAAGGTAAGGCGGAAGGCCCCCTTCAGCCTGCATTCAGGAATCGTGGGAATGGGTGGGTGGTAGTTCGGGTGAGAAAGATGAGACGGACGAAATGAAGACAGAAGAGAATGAAAGATTATCTGTGGAATATTACTGCCTCAACATTTGCCTAAGTGATCCAANAAAATTGTTGCTCTTAGTGTCTGGATCAATTCTGAGTTACTAATTGTGTTTGCTCTAAGCTTTCCTTTTGCGAAGATCAGGCGCGAATCCAAGATTTTAATCAGGAGGGAGGAGGGGCACTTTTGTGTGATTTTCTTTTTCTTCCCGAAAATTTGTTTTAAATAAAAAGTTTCAGTTAATTATTCACATAATACTTGCATTTATTATTATTTTTAATCATTAACGCATTTTTTATTAACAATCAAAGCGATGAATGAAAACAATTCTGGTATAGACCTTATGACTTTATTTTAAAAATTTTAAAATCGGTTAAGGTTAAATGATTTGAAGGGGGTGCAATGGGGGTGGGGGGCAATTGCTTGCCAGTCAATTTAGGAAAGCGTTTAATATATGTATAGTACTTTCTCGAAATATCTACAATTTTATGCACATTATTTCATTATCATCACATCATCAGCCCAGACAGGCTGAATACGCGCCTTCGCTCTTTCCTATCTCGAGCTAAACTTCGCAAACTAGAGGATCGCAGATCCTTAATCATTTGTAAGCTGTAGTATAATTTAGGTCTACCTCTATTCCTCTTAGCTTAGCTTTTGTTTCTGTTTCTGATATGTCGCTAACTAACCTATCTAATCTGTCTCTTATAGACTTCCACACTGCCCTCTATTCTCCTACTCTTTCTAATACCTGTGGAACAGTAAAAATTGGATAAAAAATAAATCTCAGTCACGTCTCTTTTTTTGATACTATTTATTCTATTTCAAATTATTATAATATTTTCTCTGTATTAACAATTGTACTGACGACCTCATGATGATGATGATGATTAACAACTGTATTATGGTTAGTATGTATAAATTGTTGATGTTGAATACTGCTGAAATATTTTCTTCCAAAATAAGAAGTCTTCCTGAGCTAGATTTGTGCCAGTTACCAATTGTTTTCCAATTTCCAAATACCGAACGTCATTAACTTCAACTCCTCTTGCGTCTGGCCAGGTTACGTTTCCAAGAAGAGGATCCAGAATAGGAGTAGGATTTCTACAAATTTGACAATCTATGCAGTCGAGTAGTATACACTGGTACAATGTCAATACAAATTGAACAAATAAAGTCCAGCCAGGTCAGTTTTATGTTTAAGAAGACAAATTGTAATTGGACTGACAAAAAGGTGTGTTTCAAACACTTTGCAGTAAACAATTGTAAATGCAATTTCTCAAAAATGCATAAGAATGAGTCATGGTGTTAAATAGGGCAGTGAAAGTGAAGACTTCGACTTCCCAACTTGACCCAGTCATAGATACATACCCGTAAATTGCAAAATTAGTCCACAACGTTATCAGACGACTCCTCGTTAGCTTATCGGCTTCAGTATTTAATGTAGTATTCCATAAATAAATACCATCTTCGTCATGTCCAGCTCCGCCTACAAGAAATTTCATCATTACCTTCACATATGTCTCAAAATCAGGCTCACATACAAGATTGCAATTTAAAGAAATACAGATAGATAACTATTTAAGTCTAACAAAAATTTTTTATTAAAACAAAAAATTAATATCGCATTAGTCTAATTGTAGTAACAAACCGTTAATTCCTTTGGTGTAATTCTCCTTTGTAGCATATGAGAACATGTAAAAATATACTGGCTGGGTTGTTTTCACCAAGTCTGCAACTATTTTTCGTATCCCTCTTGCAAAATAATGTTGAGTCATAAACTTAAATCAAAATTCTGATGTTAGAATCAAAAAGCCTTAATTATTTTGTAATATTACGTTTAGGGAACTCGTTAAATTATCGTACACCCTGTCTGGAAAATAAAAGTCAGAAATCTTTTCCACTAGTTCGTCAGCCACTGAAGAATTTAGGTCAACATTCAGTCCAGCGGGAATGACATTTTTAGGATTCGTAGCGAACTGCCTGTATCTACCTGAATATCAAAACTGATTTCAACTTTACAATGGATAATGTTGTGAAATGTTTACCTCTGGCATAAGCACCATCTTCCGAAGTGTAGCCTATTATAACAGGAACCTTATTAAAATCACCGTTAGTCCAGATTTCATAAGTGCTACGATCTATAAAAGCTTCTGGATGGTCAACTTCAACAGATGGTAAAAAACGGCTAACTTGCTAGAAAAACATTGAGGTAATTTGCGACCAATTTTTCGATTTTTTTCCCTCTTACTAGTGAGACATTAACTAGGATTTTATAGTCGATTTTTTGAAGTTCTCGGACTACCTGAGCAGTATTATTGGAATAAATATTGAAAAGCCTTGCAAATTGAAGAGTTAACTCTTTTGGATTTCTCGTAAACCCCCATTCATTCAGAGTAACACCACTCTGAGAAATTGCTTGAGCAAAAAGTCCTTAAACATAAACAACCGGAAATTTATCATAAAAAGTTAATTTGTGTCATACCTTCGCTTTTTGGGGAAGCTAATTGATAGCTAACACTGGATCCTCCAGCGCTTTGACCGAAGATAGTGATTTTATTTGGATCCCCTCCAAAATTCCGAATATTATTTTTAACCCATTGTAACGCGAGATTTTGATCTTTAAGACCTGCATTTCCCCAAGCGTTTTCATCTTCAGTATTTAGGAAACCTAAGACCCCTACGCGGTAAGCAATAACAACCACTATCACCGGCTTTTCAAGTATATTTGATGGATTCGCAGTAGGTTTACCACGAACAAATGCACCACCATATATCCAAAACATTACTGGGAGGGATAAGTCATCGTTGTCCTTAGAATGTTTAGATATAATATACGGTATTCTAAAATTGTTTCAAGCAATTCTACCAATATTTGGTAAATGAAGTCTAATTATTGATTTATAAACAAAAGTTATAATAACTAAAAGTGTGAATCAATTATTCGAAAAAAATTTTGAGGGGACTGATTGTTTCCAATATTAATATAATAGTTCAGTTGGTAGAGAATTTTCTCGATATAAATTTGTTGTAGTCGGGGAAAAGTTAAGCATTCCTGTATATTTTTAAACTTCGAAAAACTGTGCGTTAACAAACAGGGGAGGTTCAAAGATGGCAAAAGCCAGATTTTTAGATATAGAAGGCAAGCTATGCCTATTAGAAAGAAAAGCTTTAAATAAAAATTGCAGAGAAATTAGAAACCTTCATTTTTAGCAGTGGTACGATCAATTTTGTCTATTAGTTATTGCAGAAATGCCAAAAAATCGTCAAAAATTGCCATTTCTCGTATACTGATTGTTTATTGTAAAAATGACTTTTTTATTGTTATTTGTGTAGGTACCTTATCTGTTTGCGTAACATATACATTTAAGTTTAGGCAATTTTCACTTCCAACTACAGGACTTCCAGCAGTTCCACTGTCGTGGGCTGCACACGAGTCGGGGTCAGAATTGACCACTTTAACCCCATCCCAAGGCTCAGGTGGTTGAGGATCCTAGATTGGATTTCGAAATAATAAATGATACAATTTGTATTTTCAATGTAGTTTATCTCAAACAAAACATCAAAAAGTTGACATTTACTGACAAAGAACATTAAAAATGATCTGGATTAGATATCTAGGTGCTTGTAGTATTGATAATAAGTCAGCAAGTATTTGATTGTTAATATTATTAATCAGTGGGTTATTTACGTACGAAAATAAGATATTTTGCAAATGAAGATTTTTATCTTTGATACGACTTTCAATGACTATTTACTTGATGAAAATCCATATTTATTGTTTTATAAATAAAACTCAAAAATGTAAAATTTTCCAATAAACTCAACACAGAATATATATAGACACGTAAAGTTTAAATTCTCAATCAATGTTT